GTACGTAGGCCGAAAAGGGGTAGAATATTATAGATAAATTAAGTTCGGGGGTGTAATAGGACCTTAGTAAAGGTTAGGTGTGTCTCAGGGATTTTGGGCATAGGGTGGGGGTATTTATGCATTTTCGGTTAATTTAAAAATCATGTTCAGAAGATTTTTAAATTATTTAGAAACATAGAATTATTTAGTTGGTTAATTTTTTTAAATTTATTTTTGGTTAATTTAAGCTACAGATATAAAATATTTTTAAATTTTAAAATTGTTGAATTTTTGTGGTGCTGACATGTGCAGTTTTTACTTCTCCTATTATATATAGGAGAAGTAATACCAAAGTTTTATTACTATTTATTAAAAATAATTTATTTTTAATAATATTAAATTTTTATTATTATGTTTAAATATAATTAAGAAAAAATAGAGCAATTTTTTGGAACACTCATAACTAAACAACTGATTTGCATTTCAAAAGAAGTCATTTGACAATTTTAAAACCATCTTCTCTAATTATTTGGCTTCATGTAAATGTTTTGAATTGTTATGTTTTAGATCTATATCTCACCTATATTGGAGGTAATGGGGACGTGGGTGAGGATTTGTGGGGGTATTATTTAATTTAGATAGGGGAACTTTTTAAAATAAATAAATTGAATGTTAAAAATATGTAAAAATTTGAATTGGTTATAATTTTTTAATGGTAACTTTTTATTTTTAATGTTCAAGATATAAATATTTAAATTTTAAATTTAACTTTAATTATTTAAAATAATATTAAGAGTAATTAATCCTATTTTGCTAATGATTAGTGAAAAAGTAACAAAGAATATTCTTTTTCTTTTAATTCGTATGATAAATTAACTACAATGATAATACTATCAAAAAATTAAAACAGTTTAAAGCACTAAAGCAGGAATTGTTTATGTTTTGCATCCTCCGTTCTCAAAAACAATTTAAAGCACTAAAGCAAGAATGTGTTTATGTTTTACATCCTCCGTTCTCTTATTAAAGGAAGTTATTAAAGGAAGAAGAAGCAGTATTTAAATATTTAATGTGTTACTTATTATTATTTTATTTAGTATTTTAATCTATTAATTAATATTTAATTCAAATTAATTAATACAATTGTAAATTAAATACATTCACACTCCTTTGAAGTAGGATAATTAACACTAAATGTACTTTTCCATGAACATCATAGTAATAATGAAGTATAAACCTCTTGACATAATCAAATGATGTTTAATCTTATAGTAATATTCCCTCAGTAAACACAACTGCAATGTTCAGTTGACGCTTACGAATCTAAGGCTTTTAGTAGAATGTTGCCCTTGAATATAATCACATACAATCAGATGTACCTAACCTTCAACACAATAACCATGTAACTTAGCAGATTTTTATATCATACTCTAATCAAACTCTGAACTTTAATAACTCATTACAGGACTTGACTCAAGCAAATTTGAATTGGGTTGAGTCTTGACCCGTTTGTTGTCTTTACCCATTAAATGACTAGTATTGAGAATGATTTCTTTCTCTAACTTATAATTTTATTTTGAATATGCAGGAAAATGCGGGTGATTGAAATTGAATAGTGGCCAGAAGTAAACTCGATTGTAGTGAACGATAAAGATTTGTTGTACTGTTGCCATATATGTTTGGATGCATTTGATTTTGTGGAATTTATTGCTAGTAGAGATCCTTAAGCAATTGTTTTCAAAGTATGGGTTGTACACACTACAACATTTTAGGCCTATGACTACACTAAATCTAGACAACGCTTGTAAAGTGTTGCCTAAAATATTTTTGGATACACTTTAAAAGCATAGCCAATGTTTTTAACTTTTGACTTCGATAATATTGACATCTTTTGTAAAGGGTACTCTTTAATGATATAGGCTACACTTTAGAAGTGTTGTTATATAATTATGATATAATTGGCAACAAATATTTATATATATGGCCACACTTTTAAAATATGTTATTTTTATAATTGAAAAAGCAACACATTACAAGTGTAGCCTTAATATTTTCACTAAAATATTATATTCCCTCCAACATTTTCAAGTATCCCTCCAATTTTTAATTGGGAAAAAAATAATAATTCATAAAACATTAAAACTTTCATTTCTCCCAAATCACAAAAAAAATCCATCAAATTGAAGAACACGCTCTTTAGGCTTTTCTCTCCAAGTATGAAGAACACAATTTCCATCAAACTTTCTCACAGATTTCTTGTTGAAGAGCTGAAGATCTCTTCCGTCATATTCTCGCTGAAGAGTTGTTCTCGCTGAAGGTTAGGCCTCACAGATGAACACGCCTCATTAAAAGATTTCTTGTTGAAAATTGAACAAAATGCTTCACTTGAGAAGATGGTGTCTTAAAGCTTCGTCACATTAAAAGGATTTTGTTGGATTAGGGTTTATCACGTAAGTAATTCAATCTTTGAAAGTCTAAATTTTAGGTTTAGGAATTTGATATTCTTGTATTGTTGATACGATTTTTGTTGATTTTTGGAAGTCTAACTCGTAGATGTATTACCCACATCAGTTGATTCTTTGCCCTGAGCATTAATAACTAAATAAGTATAAATGGGCTGGTTAGGACAGATTCTTCACTTGAGAATTTCTTTTTTATTAGGTTCATAAGCTGATTAGGGCTGAATCGTCCATGATAGTGTAGCGAAAAAATCAGATGGCATCAGCAATAATGGGTCCATCAGGATCAGGAAAGACTACTCTTCTCAATGTTCTGGTAGGTCAAACAAAAGCATCACCTAAGTTAAATTTGTCTGGTCTTTTGTACATCAATGGGGTGCCATTTTCAAACAATCTTTATAAAATCAGAGGTTTTAAAGTAGGATAACTATAGATATCTGGCCGCTAGATTGCCTCCACCCGTGCATGTTGGATTCCGCGTAGCAACAGTCTAGGGCAGTGGTACCTATGGGGAATGGTAATAATGGTCGAGGGCGTCCACAAGGTGGGCAAGGAGGTAATCAGAGAGGTCGTGGAGGTAGAGAAAATGGTAATGCAGGCAGGGGTAACGTGCAACCAGGCAGGGAAGTCGCTCGACATGATGATAGGGCTCAATGTTATGCCTTTCCAGGCAAGAATGAGGCAGAGGCATCGGATGCGGTGATCACATGTACTATTCTTGTCTGTGACCGGATGGCTATTGTGTTATTTGATCCGAATTCTACTTATTCTTATGTATCTGTGCGATTTGCCTCCGAGTTTGATATGATTTGTGATGTACTTGATTCCCCTATCCATGTTTCTACCGTAGTTGGAGAGTCTGTCATAGTCACTCATGTCTATCGTGCCTGTCCTATTTGTTTATGGGTTTTCAGACTTGGGCTGATTTGGTGATTTTTGATATGACTGACTTTGATATTATCTTAGGAATGACTTGGTTGTCCCCCCCCCCCTATAATGTTGTGTTAAATTGTAATACTAAGTCTGTAGCTCTAGAAATTTCGGGAAGGGAAAAGTTAGAGTGGGAAGGGTGTACAAGCCTAAGCAAGCTAAGATCATATCCTCTATTC